CGTATGTTTTAGGGCTTGTATGTGTCATGTGGTATGTTACGAGCATCGTATTTGTGAATTGGCACCTATTGTGGTTGGAGGATGTTAGTATGGGCATAATAATTATGCGATGCATAGTGTGATTTCAGCATGAGTGCATGATCATGTTTTGGAACAACGTGTTGAGATTTAGGTGGTGTTCATATGTTAGAATCAGTCCTGGTAGAGAATTCCAGATGTTAGAATTTGATTCTAAGGCTTATGGGCTAAGGTAGCAAGAATGACCTTTAGTCTAGCTTGAGATAATGTGCTGATATGGGTTGTGGTGGCACGAGTAGGTGCACGAGGTCTTAAGCTATGATATTGGGCAACTGGGGGATGGTTCCTAGCACGTTCGAGGACGAACGTATGTTTAAGCGAGGGAGAATGTAATGACCTGACTGTTCGTTTTGAGGTCTAGCATGTCTTTAGGCTGTTTGAGGCCTTGAGTAGCTTAACTTCATGTATTATGCCATGCTCTTCTGGTTGGTTTCAAATTTTGAGAAGTTCAGAGTTGATTTGGAAGAATAATTCTCAATTTTGAAGCTTTAAGTTGAAAGAGTCGACGAAGGTTTAACTTTTGAGTAAAGACTTCGGATTAGAATTTTGATGGTTCCGTTAGGTGCGGATGGTAATTTAGGACTTAAGTGTATGTCCGGATTTGAAGGTCCGAAGGTTGATTTGATGTTGTTTGGCCAAAGTTGGAAGATTGAAGGTTGGAAGGTTGATAGGTTTTACTGTGAGTTGACTTTTTTGATATTGGATCTGGATTGTGGTTCTGGGATTTATTTTAGGTCTGTTGTATCATTTGGGACTTGCATGCTAAATTTAAGGTTATATCGTGTTGATTTAGCATGGTTCGACATGCGTTTTAGAAATTAAAAAGTTCATTAGTTCGTTAGGCTTGAATTGATGTGCGATTCATAATTTTGAAGTTGTTTGGTGTGCTTTGAGATCTCAAGTAGGTTCATGTTATGTTTTAGGACTGGTTGGTATGTTTTGGGGCTTGTATGTGTCATGTGGTATATTACGAGCATCAGATACGTGAGTTTGCAACTATAATGGTTGGAGAATGTTATTATGGGCATAATAATTTTGTGGTGCATTGTGTGATTTCAGCATGGGTGCATGATCATGTTTTGGTACAACGTGTTGAGATTGAGGCAGTCTTCATATGTTAGAATCAGTCCCGGTAGAGAATTCCAGATGTTAGAATTTGGTTCTAAGGCTTATGGGCTAGTATAGAAGGGATGACCTTTAGTATGGCTTGAGATAATGTGCTTATATGGTTTGTGGTGGCACGGGTAGGTGCACGAGGTGTTAAATTATGATTTTGGTCAACTCGGGGACGGTTGTTGGCAGATTCGAGGACGAACATATGTTTAAGCTAGGGAGAAAGTAATGACTCGACCGGTCGTTTTGAGGTCTAGCATGTCGTTAGGTGGTTTGAGGCCTTGAGTAACTTCACTTCATCTGATATGACATGCACGTGTGGTTGGTTTCTATTTTCGAGAAGTTCTGAGTTGATTTGGACGAATAATACTCAATTTGGAAGCTTTAAGTTGAAAGAGTTAAGCAAGGTTTGGCTTTTGAGTAACGACTTTAGATCGGAATTCGATGGTTCCGGTAGGTCCGGATGGTAATTTTGGACTTAGGCCTATGTCCGGATTTGGAGGTCCGTAGGTTAACTTGATGTTTTTTCGCTAAAGTTGGATGATTGAGGGTTTGGAAGGGCTGATAGGTTTGACCAAGAGTTGACTTTTTTGATATCAGATCTAGATTGTGGTCCTGGGAGTTGTTGTAGGTCCGTTGTATCATTTCGGACTTACATGCAAAATTTAAGGTCAATCCGGATTGGTTTGGCATGGTTCAACATGAGTTTTAAAAGTTTAAAAGTTCATTAGTTCATTAGTCTTGAATTGATGTGCGATTCATAATTTTGATGTTGTTTGGTGTGATTTGAGACCTCAAGTAGGTTCGTGTAATATTTTGGGACTAGGTGGTGTGATTGAACAGGGTCTTGGGGGACTCGAGGGTATTTCAGATGGGTTTGGAGGATGTTATTATGGGTACAATAATAATGCGGTGCAATGTGTGATTGTAGCATGGGTGCATGATCATGTTTTGGTACAACGTGTTGAGATTGAGGCGGTGTTCATATGTTAGAATCAGTCCCAGTAGAGAATTACGGATATTAGAATTTGGTTATAAGACTTATGGGCTAAGGTAGTAGGGATGACCTTTAGTGGCTTGAGATAATGTGCTCATATGGGTTGTGGTGGCACGGGTAGGTGCACGAGGTGTTAAATTATGATTTTGGGCAACTCGGGGACGGTTCTTGGCACATTCGAGGATGAACATATGTTTAAGCGAGGGAGAACGTAATGACCCGATTGGTAGTTTTGAGTTCTAGCATATCGTTAGGCAGTTTGTGGCATTGAGAAACTTCAGTTCATGTAATACGACATGCACGTGTGGTTGGTTTCTATGTTGAGAAGTTTAGAGTTTTTTTTTTGAGTTTAAATTATATTGTATTGATACTCAAAAACAGATTTACAATTTGATGCCCAGTAGTAGTTTTGACTTACTACCACTCTATATACATCACATTTGCCTATCCAAACTAAGTCTAAATGCCTATGTCACTAGTTACAGACACTGTTTTTATACACTTCCTATTACAATTCTTCATTTCAATCTTTATGGAATCCTATCCAAATGCTGTAATGCTCCTTTCCACTTGCTGTATTTCTTGCCTCTGATGTGAATGTGCAATGCTATCTCCCTGCAGACCTGGTTCTCATCATATTTACCCTTTTCAAATATGATTTTGTTCCTTTCCCTCCAGATCAGTGCAATGGTACTGGCAAAAACACAGTTGGTTATTACATTTATCCCTTTCCTGCTTTTTGCTTTCTTGCATATCCAATCCATTTCAGCTTCCCAATCAGCAATATTTCTCCTATGTCCCAGCCAGAAGCATAGTCTAGACCACAGATTCTTTGTGATTGAGCATTCAAAGAATAAGTGGTTGAAGGATTCTAGACTATGCCCACGGAATGCACACCCTGTAGGAACATGTATACCAAATTTCAATAACCTGTCTACTGTTGATAGTCTTTGCTGTGCTGCTAGCCAAATTGTGAACCTATGTCTTGGATGTATACTTGTATGTAGCATTAGACTCTTCCAGTCAACTTTGCAGAATTCAGGAATCAGCTTCAAGTACATTTGTTTGATCTGGAATTTCCCATCCTTGCATATTGCCTGTAATCTGTTTTGCATATTCCCTTGCATTTGCTGGTGCTCCATGATCACATCTCTATTGTCTAGTATCTTCCTCACTACCCAAGATGCTGTCTTGGGAGTATTCATTGTTTCAATGTTTCTATTCTTTATGTAAAAACTGTGCACCCATCGTATCTATAGACAGTCCTTTTTTCTTGTTAAGTCCCATAAGTGCTTTATAATTGCTGCTTTGTTCCACATCTTGATGTCCAGTATGTTGAGACCTCCAGCTGATATTGGCCTGCACACCCTTTCCCAAGCTACTAGAGCCTTTTTTGAAGTGCTTGCACCTCCAGCCCATAGAAATGTTCTGCAGACAGTTTCAATAGCTTTCATCACCTTCTTTGGAATAATGAACACCTGAGCCCAATAGTCTGAATACCAAAAATAACTGCCTTGATCAGTTGACATCTACCAGCATAGGAGAGGAGTTTTGCAGACCAGTATGTAATCTTTGCTTTTATCTTCTCAATCAAGGGCAAGTACTGATAGACAACTAGTTTTTTAGAGTCTAAAGGAATCCCCAGATATTTGAAAGGGAGTTTGCCTTCAGTAAATCCCAAAGCACCAAGGATCTCCTCTCTAGCATCTTGGTTTATTCCAGCCATATATATTGCACTTTTGCTTGCATTTGCTTGTAGCCCAGAAACAACTGACAATCTGTTAAAAGCAGCATTTAAAATCTTGATGGATTCAATGTCAGCCCTACAGTACATTAGCAGGTCATCAGCAAAGCAAACATGTGTGCTGTTTAGCTTCCTGCACTTAGGATGAAAATTAAAGTCACCATTCTTATGCAACTGCCCCAGTTCTCTATTCAAATATTCCATGGCAATAACAAATAGGTAGGGGGACATAGGGTCTCCTTGCCTAATCCCTCTCTTGGCTTTGAAAGGTTTTGTTAAACCACCATTCAAAACCAAGGAGTATGATACAGTTGTAACACAGGTCATTATCCACTGCACAAACTTAGCTGGAAAACCAAGATCAATAAGCATCTGTCTAAGAAAGTTCCATTCCAGAGTATCATAGGCCTTCCTTAAATCCACCTTCAGTACACATCTAGGAGATACTCCTTTTCTGGAATATCCTTTGAATAATTCATGGCTAAGAAGTATATTATCAACTATGCTTCTGCCTTCAATGAAAGCTGACTGAGCCTGCCCAATCAATCCACCAATCACACTTTTCATTCTCCTTGTAATGACTTTAGAGATGATCTTATATAGAGTGGTACAACATGCAATGGGTCTATAATCTTTGACTGTTGTTGGTACTTTCACTTTAGGGACTAGAGCAATGGCTGTTGTATTTATCATTTGAGGCATTCTGTTATTGGAGAAGAAATCCTTAACTGCTGCAAATATATCCTCTTTCACTAGTTCCCAGTTCCTGGTGAAGAATTCCACAGGGAATCCATCCACTCCTGGTGCTTTGTCTTTAGGCATCTCCTTAATTGCTTCTGTGATCTCCTCCATTGTAACTTCCTGTATCAATGATTTTTGTTGTGATATAGTTAAGCAAGATCCTTCCTTTATAATAGTTGTGTTAGCACATGGAATCTCAGTAGCACAGTCTCCCATCAATGACTGGAAGACACTAATGAACTCCTGCTCAACTAATTTGGGCTCATTTAATTTCACACCTGCATCTGTATATATGGAAGTTATGCTATTATGACTGGGTCTGATCTTCTACTGGGCATGGAAATACTTTGTGTTAGCATCTCCACATTCAATCCAGCAGGCCTTGGATTTCTGCCTCATTACTTGCTCCTCCACATTGCTCCACTTCTCAATTTCAGCTAGTGTTATTTTCTCTTCATTGAAAAGAGACTGTGATAAAGGGTTCTGCTTGATCTGAGTTTGTATAATATCCAATTTCTCTCTTTCCTGCTCAAGTCTCTATTTGTATGAAGCCATATATGCATTTACCTCCTTTAGTTGTTCCTTCATGTTTTTCAGTTTACTCCATATCTGCTGCATAGGTGCTCCTTCATAGTGCTGTTTCCATACTTGTTGCATAATGTTCTGAAATTGAGGAAGCTCCATGATGTTTGTGTACAATCTGAATGGTTTTGGATGCATTAGCTGCTGTCTACCACATTTGATTAGAATAGGGGAATGATCAGACACTGATGGGTTCAAAAAATCAGCTTCTATATGCCCATACTACTGGATCCATTGGTAGTTTCCCAAAGCCCAGTCAATCTTGCTATACACCCTAGAATCAGAACCTTGCTTATTTGTCCAAGTGTAATGCCACCCTTTAGCACTAAGAGGGGTGAGTTGTAAATCATCAATGACATCCTTAAATTCCTTTATTTCAGCATCAGTGACAGGGGAACCAATTCTATCCTCAGAGCTAAGAACATTATTAAAGTCTCCACTAAGAAGCCAAGCCTCCTGACTTGGTATAGTTAGCCCTCTAAGATCTCTCCATAGCTTTTTCCTTTGATTCCCATCATTTTGAGCATATATGATACTAAAATTAGTTTTAAACTGACTGTTTGTATCTTCAATACAACACTAGATGAATTGGTCTGTCATATGGATAATTTGAACTTGAATATGAGCTTTCCAAAGTGACCAAATTCTCCCATTCACAGCATTTGAATAGTTGCAGCATACATTCCAGCCCTTTTCAATCTTTCCTTGAATTTTCTTAGCTTTATGCTCCTTAACTCTAGTTTCTATGCAACCCATAACATCTATTTTATTTGTAGCTAGGAAATTTTTTACCTCTTTCTGCTTATGGGCTTGGTTTAGCCCCCTAACATTCCAAGTTACAATGATCATTGGGTTTTGAACATTAGGGGGCCTGGTGGCCCTGTCTATCTGTTGTCCTCTTCTTCCTTTATCCATCATATCAACAATTGCCTTGCCCTTTTCCATATTACCATCCATCACAGTATTGCTGCAGTTTATTTCACTTGGATTTGTTCCATTACTTGTTTGAGGCAAAGTAACATTCTGCTGTGGACTCTCTATGATTTCACTGGCCTTTTCCATGCTATTTCTTCCATGGGTATGCTCCTTTTGCACTGTTAAGTTTTCCTGAGGATTAGGTTCTGTGTTCACTTGAACCTTTTTAACAAGCCATGCTTGCTTAACAGTTTTTCCTTGCTTCTTTGTTCTTTTCCTCTGTCTCCTTGGCCTGCCCTCTTCCTTAGATTCCTGCTCTTCATCAGACTTAGTGTTATACTAGCAATCAATAGAATCATGCCCAAATTTCAAACACTCATTGCAGAATGCAGGCTTCCAGTCATATTCAATCATTTGAATCATAGGGCTATAAGGAGATTCTATCTGTATATGCTCTGGCAGAGGATAAGCAGCATCTACCTCCACAAGCACTCTAGTATATGATATTTTCTCATAGTGAGCAGTGTACTTGTCTGTGTACAAGGGATTCCCCACTACACTAGCCATTTTTCTTAGGGCTTTAGTTGACCAAAACCCCACAGGCAGTCTAGGAAACCTCACCCAATCTGGAATTGTGCTTAAAATGTCCTTATTAAATGAAAAGTCAATTTCCGAAAGCTTTAGTATCATAGGTTTGTTCCTGTACGTATATGGCCCTGATTGAAGAACCTGATCCCTATGAGCTATAGTATGGAATCTGAAAATACAGTAGCCCTCAGAATGAATCAGGATATGAGGCTTAGTAACAAAATTCCACATATTTAGCACAAAGTTTTCTATAGCTTTTTCGTAAGGATTTTCTCTAATTATATAGCCAATTAGAGAAGTTTTCCAGTAATCTGCCTGTGATTGCAAGTCATTTAGAGTTTATTTGGAAGAATAATTCTCAATATGGAAGCATTAAGTTGAAATAGTTGACCAAGGTTTGACTTTTGAGTAACGACCTCAGATCGAAATTTTGATGGTTCCGGTAGGTCCGGATGGTAATTTTGGACTTAGGCCTATGTCTGGATTTGGAGGTTTTTTTGATATCAGATCTGGATTGTATTTTAGGTAGTTGTTATAGGCTCGTTGTATCATTTGAGACTTGCATGCAAAATTTAAGGTCATTCCGGATTGGTTTGGCATAGTTCAACATGAGTTTTAGAAGTTTAAAAGTTCATTAGTTCATTAGGATTGAATTGATGTGCGATTCATTATTTTGATGTTGTTTGGTGTGATTTGAGACCTCAAGTAGGTTGATGTAAGGTTTTGGGACTAGTTGGTATGATTGGACAGGGTCTCCGGGGACTTGGGGGTGATTCAGATGGGTTTGGAGGATGTTATTATAGGCTCAATAATTATTCCGTGCATTGTGTGAATGAAGCATGGGTGCATGATCATGTTTTGATATAACAGGTTGAGATTCAGGTGGTGTTCATATGTTAGAATCTGTCCAGGTAGAGAATTACGGATGTTAGAATTTGGTTCTAAGGCTTATGAGCTAAGGTAGCCGGGATGAGCTTTAGTCTGGCTTTAGATAATGTGCTCATATGGGTTGTGGTGGCACGGGTAGGTGTACGAGGTGTTAAATTATGAGTTTGGGCAACTCGCGGACAGTTCTTGGCACATTCGAAGACGAACGCATGTTTAAGCGAGGGAGAATGTAATGACCCGACATGTCGTTTTAAGGTCTAGCATGTCGTTAGGCGGTTTGAGGACGTGAGTAGCTTCACCTCATGTATTCTGACATGCACTTGTGGTTTGTTACAATTTTTGAGAAGTTCAGAGTTGATTTGGAAGAATAATTGTCAATTTGGAAGCTTTAAGTAAAAACAGTTGACAAAGGTTTGACTTTTCAGTAAACCACCTCAAATTGGAATTTTGATGGTTTCGTTAGGTCCGGATGGTAATATTAGACTTAGGCGTATGTCCGAATTTGGAGGTCCGTAGGTTGATTTGATGTTTTTGGCTAAAGTTGGAGGGTTGATAGGTATGACCGAGAGTTGACTTTTTTGATACTGGATCCAAATTGTGGTGCCAGGAGTTGTTATAGGTTCATTGTTTCATTTGGGACTTTCATGCAAAATTTAAGATCATTCCGGGTTGATTTGGCATGGTTCGACATGGGTTTTAGAAGTTTAAAAGTTCATCAGTTCATTAGGCTTGAATTGATGTGCGATTAATAATTTTGATGTTGATTGGTGTGATTTGAGACCTTAAGTAGGTTCGTGTTATGCTTTGGGACTAGTCGTATGTTTTGGGGCTTGTATGTGTCATGTGGTATGTTACGAGCATCGGATTTGTGAAGTTGCAACTATTGTGGTTGTAGGATGTTATTATGGGTATAATAACTATGCGGTGCATTGTGTGATTTCAGCATGGGTGCATGGTCATGTTTTCGTATAGCGTGTTGAGATTTAGGCGGTGTTCATATGTTTGAATCAGTCCCGGTAGAGAATTTCGGATGTTAGAATTTGGTGCTAAGGCTTATGGGCTATGGTAGCAGGAATGACCATCCGTCTGGCTTGAGATAATGTGCTCATATGGGTTGTGGTAGCACGGGTAGGTGCACGAGGTGTTCAATTATGATTTTGGGCAACTCGCGGACGGTTGCTAGCACGTTCGAGGACGAACTTATATTTAAGCGTGGGAGAATGTAATGACCCGACCGGTCGTTTTGAGGTCCAGCATGTCGTTATGCAGTTTGAGGCCTTAAGTAGCTTCACTTCATGTATTATGACATGCACTTGTGGTTGGTTACAATTTTTGAGAAGTTCAGAGTTGATTTGGAATAATAATTCTCAATTTGGAAGCTTAAAGTTGAAAGAGTTGACCAAGGCTTTACTTTTGAGAAAACGACCTCAGATCGGAATTTTGAAGGTCTCGTCAGGTACGGATGGTGATTTTGGACTTAGGCATATGTCCCGATTTGGAGTTGATTTGATGTTCTTTGGCGAAAGTTGAAAAATTGAAGGTTTATTAGGTTGATAGGTTTGACCGAGAGATTGACTTTTTTAATATGGATCCTGATTGTAGTTCCGGGAGTGTTTATATGGTCATTATATCATTTGGGACTTGCATGCAAAATTTAAGATCATTCCCGGTTAATATGGCATGGTTAGATATGAGTTTTAGAAGTTTAAAATCTCATTAGTTCATTAGGCTTGAATTGCTGTACGATTCATAACTTTGATGTTGTTTGGTGTGACTTGAGACCTCAAGCAGGTTCGTGTTATGTTTTGGGACCGGTCGTATATTTTGGGCTTGTATGAGTCATGTGGTATGTTACGAGCATCACGTTTGTGAATTGGCAGCTATTGTGGTTGGAGGAGGTTAGTATGGGCATAATAATTATACGGTGCATTGGGTGTTTTAGCATGAGTGCATGATCATGTTTTGGAACAGGGTGTTGAGATTTAGGCGGTGTTCATATGTTAGAATCAGTCCTGGTAGAGAATTCCGGATGTTAGAATTTGGTTCTAAGGCTTATGGGCTAAGGTAGCAGGAATGATTTTCAGTCTAGCTTGAGATAATGTGCTGATATGGGTGCGGTGGCACGAGTAGGTGCACGAGTTGTTAAACAATGATTTTGGGCAACTCGCGGAGGGTTCTTGGCACGTTCGAGGATGAACGTATGTTTAAGCGAGGGAGAATGTAATGACCCGGCCGTTCGTTTTGAGGTCTAGCATATCTTTAGCTATTTGAGGCCTTGAGTAGCTTCACTTCATGTATTATGCCATGCTCTTCTGGTTGGTTTTAGATTTTGAGAAGTTCAGAGTTGATTTGGAAAAATAATTCACAATTTGGAAGCTTTAAGTTGAAAGAGTCCACCAAGGTTTCACTTTTGAGTAAAGACTTCGGATCAGAATTTTGATGGTTCCGTTAGGTGTGGTAATTTAGGACTTAGGCGTATGTCCGGATTTGAAGGTCCGAAGGTTGATTTGATGTTGTTTGGCAAAAGTTGGAAGATTGAAGGTTGGAAGGTCGATAGGTTTGACTGTGAGGTTACTTTTTTGATATCGGATCTGGATTGTGGTTCTGGGAATTATTATAGGTCTGTTGTATCATTTGGGACTTGCTTGCAAAATTTAAGGTTATATCAGGTTGATTTAGCATGGTTCGAAATGCGTTTTAGAAATTAAAAAGTTCATTAGGCTTGAATTGATGTGCGATTCATAATTTTGATGTTGTTTGGTGTGATTTGAGATCTCAAGTAGGTTCATGTTATGTTTTAGGTCTGGTTGGTATATTTTGGGGCTTGTATGTGTCATGTGGTATATTACGAGCCTCGGATACGTGAATTTGCAACTATAATGGTTGGAGGATGTTGTTATGGGCACAATAATTATGTGATGCAATGTGTGATTGCAGCATGGGTGCATGATCATGTTTTGGTACAACGTGTTGAGATTGAGGCGGTGTTCATATGTTAGAATCAGTCCTAGTAGAGAATTACGGATATTAGAATTTGGTTATAAGGCTTATGGGCTAAGGTAGTAGGGATGACCTTTAGTGGCTTGAGATAATGTGCTCATATGGGTTGTCGTGGCACGGGTAGGTGCACGAGGTGTTAAATTATGATTTTGGGCAACTCGGGGACGGTTCTTGGCACATTCGAGGACGAAGATATGTTTAAGCGAGGGAGAACGTGATGACCCGATTGGTAGTTTTGAGGTCTAGCATATCGTCAGGCGGTTTTTGGCATTGAGTAAATTCACTTCATGTACTATAACATGCACGTATGGATGGTTTCTATTTTGAGAAGTTTAGAGTTTATTTAGAAGAATAATTCTCAATTTGGAAGCATTAAGTTGAAAGAGTTGACCAAGGTTTGACTTATGAGTAACGACCTCAGATCGGAAAGTTGATGGTTCCGGTATGTTCGGATGGTATTTTGGACTTAGGCCTATGTCCGGATTTGGATGTCCGTATGTTGACTTGATGTTTTTTCGCTAAAGTTGGATGATTGAAGGTTTTGAAGGTTGATAAGTATGACCATGAGTTGACTTTTTTGATATCAGGTCTGGATTGTGGTTCCGGGAGTTATTATAGGTCTGTTGTATTATTTGGGACTTGCATGCAAAATTTAAGGTCATTCCGGATAGGTTTGGCGTTGTTCAACATGAGTTTTAGAAGTTTAAAAGTTCATTAGTTCATTAGGATTGAATTGATGTACGATTCATAATTTTGATGTTGTTTGGTGTGATTTGAGACTCAAGTAGGTTCATGTAAGGTTTTGGGACTAGTTGGTGTGATTGGATTGGGTCTCCGGGGACTCGGGGGTATTTCAGAGTGGTTTGGAGGATGTCATTGTAGGAATAATAATTATGCGGTGCATTTTGTGATTGCAGCATGGGTGCATGATCATGCTTTGGTACAACATGTTGAGATTGAGGCGGTGCTCATATGTTAGAATCACTCCTGGTAGAGAATTACGGATGTTAAAATTTGTTTCTAAGGCTTATGGGCTAAGGTAGCAGGGATGACCTTTAGTCTGGCTTTAGATAATGTGCTCATATGGGTTGTGGTGGCACGGGTTGGTGCACGAGGTGTTAAATTATGATTTTGGGCAACTCGCGGACGATTCTTGGCACATTCGAGGACGAACGCATGTTTAAGCGAGGAAGAATGTAATGATCCGACAGGTCGTTTTAAGGTCTAGCATGTCGTTAGGTGGTTTGAGGCTTTGAGTAACTTCACTTCATGTCATATGACATGCACGTGTGGTTGGTTTCTATTTTCGAGAAGTTCAGAGTTGATTTAGAAAAATAATTCTC